CTGAGTGGGCGGAGTCTTGAGAAGCCTGCGTGGAGCCTTGGGGTCTAGAGATAAGCGTGTGAATTTCAAAAAATGGGAAAATTGAAATTTTTGAGATTGCGAAATCTCTAAAGCCTCCAAATCTCCGATTTTATCGATTTTCGGATTTTCGAAACCCTCAGAATATCGTTTTTACCCATTTTCAAGGTTTTGGAATTCGCGAAATATCGATTTTATCCTCGAGATTTCGCAAGCTCTAATTTATCGGCTCTATCGATTTTATCGATTTTCGGGATTTTCCAACCTCCAAAATATAGATTTTGTCAATTTTTGTGTTTTGCATGATCAGGAATTATTTTTGAGGTTTCGCAACCTCCACAATATCCATTTTATCAATTTTCGAGATTTTGGTGGTTCACTAAAATATCGATTTTTAGCTGTAAACTGCAAGCTCCCCTCCCCTCTTCTGATGCTGCTATATACCCAATATATGTATACATTCCACTCACTTCATACAGCCTTTATTTGGACTTCCCATCTTGGTAACTGGATAGCTGTGAACTTTAAGCTTTGAACACTTTTGTTGTTGTTGTACACCTAATATATGTATATTTCCTTTTACTCATTTCGTTTAGCCTTTATTTGGGCTGCATGTAATTCAACAGATTTACACTAATTGATATATGCTCCACAACTACAGGGTGTCCCAAAAGAGTAAGTACACATTTCTCGAGCGTTGATATCTCTCTTGCTATTGTGCGTTTTTTCCATTGTTCAAGTACCACTCTGTAGAGGAGGCTTCAACTTATATCTACAGTATCGAGCGAATCACCAATCGCTTTTCATTACAGTAAGATTGCTGTAGGAACTTTGGCCCCCTGCCACCCCCCTGCCAAATTCCAGCCCCCTAGCTCAAATTTGGCAAAAAATCGATAAAATCGACATCGATCGATAACGAAAAGTGGACTGTGACACCCGCCGGGGCCCGAAGTGCATGTGTGCCAAGTTTGGTCCGGATCGGTCAAGAAATGGAATTTTCTATTACGGCGGAGCCGGGTAAGCCAGTTAGTTTTTTCATAATCTTTCATATATAGCTTCGGCTTTCTAATACGTATCTACATACCGATTTTCGTATCGTATCGTTATCTTCACAGTGTAAACAAACCATCTGTGCTTCGGGACAAAACATGATATCCCGCACTTGCACGAAGAGCAAGTCGAAACAGAAATTGTTTTTCGGAAATGGAGTAATTAGCGCTTGCGACTACTACAGAAGATGTGGAGGTGGCATAGAGAAGGACGGGGCGGGAGGGGGGGGGGGGAATACATGTGCATGACGCGTGTAACAGTAACGATGAAATAGTTTGTTTGGAGAGGGGGAAGAAGGCGAAGATCCATCGGAGTGATGGAGCGGGTTTGGCCAGCCCCTCATTCTTTTTACAAAATCACTTTTGTTTAAATTCGTTTTAGCGTGACTCCCGACGACTAAGAAGACACATGCGCCATTCGGAACATTCCAAATCGTTAGCCACTCTGCCTTTTATCCCAAATCGACGTCCAGCCGCTTCGTAAGCCACCTGTGCCTAACTCCGTACAAAACTGCTACACCGCTGACTGAGATTCCGAAAATCACTTACTACTTTCATTAACCTTTCAAAGCAAAACCAATTATTTCTTTGAAATGAAGATTTTGAAGTTTAGAATACCCGGTGCGCACCCATAAAAGTGAGAAACTGGACATTTTTCCCGGTTAATCCGTGTGCATCGCAGAGAAAAATCAACGCTGAGACAAAAAAAATTACGAGGTTAAAGGCAGTGGCAAATCGCAACCTAGCAAATTTTTGCTTATCTGGGGTTATTCAATACGCTGATGCCGAAAATCCACTTCAGAGAGCTTGAAAACGGCAAAAACATGCGATTTTGAATGCCCTTCTCTTTGAAGTTGGACGAGTGTAGCAAGGCTGATGACGCTGAATCGTTGCAGGACCCAATGACTATAGCCAGGGTTGAGCGTGGGGTCAGGCGCGCCCGACCTGGGGGGTCGTATTGAGGGTGAGAGCAAGGGGGGGGGGGGTCGTAATCAAAAAGCAAATTTGTTCAAAAAATTGAGCTACTACGAGCGAGTAAGGTGAAAAAGAAAAGCGGTCAACCGTGAATTTCACAACTCCACCACAGGGATGACTGTCGTGAACAGCAGGCTGATCAACTCGATTAGCCAAATTTCAATTCTTCATCTTACCTTACACATATCGTAAGGTCACCAAAGAAGCTCTTTTGTCTAAATTGGGTATGATTTCCGTAACCAGCATGCCAAGTTACCTCAACGAGCTCTAAAAACCATTAACTATTACATTTCCTAGTGTTTTCTAACGTCTGAAAAGCATGAGTTCCAAACATGATTAAGTTGGTCACGAAAGCGAAAAAAGTCAGCTTTTTTGTATGTATAACGAAGTATTGCTCTATATCAGTCTATGGTAGAAATTGGACTTCATATCGCTTTCAAATAATGGATTAAGAAGTGCTGCCAAAATGTTAGTCACCGCGTTTTCTACCTCGAGTGCTTCAACTCCCACGATCGCAACAAAGCCAAACAAGTTGAGGTAAGTTCAAACACCTGCTGAAGAATCTTCGAGGATTATGCTAGCGAATCATGTAAAACTAAGGTGGAAAAGCTTTTTCGGTGATGAAGTTGATCGGGTCAGGCGCAACCCCTCAAAAGGTCAGGCCGCCTGAGCTTTTGAGGGGGTGCGTCTGACCCGATTAACTTGCCTTCAAAATACAGAAATCGCTTCATTCCTGGTATGAGTATTGAGATCATAGCTTCTTCTTGCCACAGTAGAAATTTGGAGCCGAACACCCCATCCGTAGAAAAATTATGGCCCTTTCAACAGGGTCATTCAGATCAAAATCAGCCGTCAAATCACGTGTGATTGTGAAGTGCAGTCACAGAAAATCGGGCGTACGATACTCAAAAATCTAAAAACTCTCTAGAAAAGGATAATGTCTTCCAGAATGTCACACACTGAGGTACCGGAGGTCAAGAGAAGGAAGAAGGGGTCGTTTGAGGGCTTGCATGGGAGGGGAGGGGGTCGTTTTCGAAAGACTTCTCCCTGACCTTTAGCCCAACTCTGGTTATAGCATTGCGACGGGCAGCCTCCAATGGTGGGAAGGAAATTGCCAACTTGTCCGAGCGCGTGTAAGATCGACTTGCGCGTGTATGTTTGGGAGCAGCCGCAGGGAAGGCATGCTGTGCAACCGGGATTGCACTGTTCTCATACTTGGACAATAAGGAACCTACTGCGTCAAAATCATGCGTTGTTAAGTTTTGCCGTTTGCCTTTAAGATAGGTTGATTTTGGAATAAATCATCAAAATACATTTTAGGAACATTAGCAAGGCAGAGATTTATAGGCGCCGTAAAACCTAATTGCCCGCGCCGTGCCTTGAACACCAGCGTAGGCGAGCGGTCGTCGCAAACGACTGTCGGTGTTCACTATGTTCCAAAAAATCTTTCCTTAACTTTCATGTTGTTATCGTCAATGCAAGGTATATCTCGACGAAAGCCCCCCTCAAAAGCTTAAAAAAATATGTGTGGAAAGGACGCGCGCTCATTGTCGCTCAAAAAAAGCCTGTAGCGCTTCGGGACCATACGTTTCCAGCCGCGCCGCGCGTTGGTGTTCAAAGCGACGCGTGGGCAATTGGGTTTTACGGGGCCTGTACAAAAAATTGGATTAGTTTGCAGGTTTGCCATTTTTGGTAGTTATCAAAGAACGTTGCTCTAAGGGCCGCATGCAATAACATTCCGCTGGGAAGGGGACCGCAGTTTACAGGAAGCTTCATATCCTGAAGCTCAAGACATCTAAACCTCACGTGTCTATCTTTCCGTAGTATTCTTACTATCCTTTATAAACTTATTAAGAAGGAGGTTGCTGCACAAACAGCATTTTTCAGCTTTCTGTATGATCCCCCGATGATCGCCGGGGCTCATTCGTCTTTTCTTCGAAGTCGTGGAAGACATTCAAAGGTTTTCTTGATTATCTAATTCAACAGTGCAAAGCATATTGCTGATTGAACAAATGAGTTTTGAAATATCAAAATTTTCGAGGACCCCAACTTTCGACTCTTGGTTTACCAGAATCGTGCTTGGCAGTGTTGCGTTAAAAATCATTACAACTTTAAACTGTCTTCGTTAACTTTGAAGAATGAAAAATGACTTTGAATAAAAGACGGGCGAGCGCTGGGCATTATCAGGGGATCGTACAGAAAGCTGGAAAATGCGGCTTGTATCGCTTCTCGCTTCTTTTCAATATGTCTATAGTGAAGGATAGTGGGAATGCTTACGGATACATATACAATCTAAAATTCAGATATCCAGAGCTTCAGGATATATAGGGCTTATCAAATTGAGTGTCGTTTGCACCAGCATCTCCATCTTCGCGCTGGACTTTGCGTCTCCTCCGCGGGGCTGCTCTCTGAGCACCTTCCCAGGGCGAGCGTGGGAAAGGCGGAGCCTCAATCGATTGGAAGTAATTAGGGAGCATGTACCGCAGAAGAGACGCAGAGTTCACGGGAAGATGGAGATGCTGGTGCAAACGACACTTAATTTGATAAGCCCTGTAACTAACTCTTTTAAGCTGCGATCCCCTCCCCCGCGGGGATGTTAATGCATGCGGCGCTGCAATGCTTTTTCTAGATTTTTCTCTTTGCTGGATTACGAAGATACTTCTTATGATGAGAATTTATTTCTTTACGTATTCCTGAATCAAAAAAAGCACTAGCTTATGGTAGAAACGATCTGTCGGTTATCTGAATTATACTATTTCAAAAATTGTTCATAAGCGCAATGCAACAACGTTCATAATTTGGCGTTCGGTCAAAGAAAATTGAAAAGTTGTCAAAAGAGGTGAAACACTTCTAGAACCACTCATGTGCATGGCATAGAAAATGAAGATCGTTCAGTCTCCCTACTAAAGGCTGTACCGCTAAGCATAGAATTATGTACTTTGATATAGAAACACTTACATCCATTTGTTCTTCTACAAGATCTTCACATCCAGAAGTTCCTTTATTTCGTAACAAATACATGGGCAACACTTCTTTCCTTGAAAATCCATAAGGCGTACCTTAAGTCTTGCTAGTCAGTGAAAATTTTTGACGAAGCAAATACCTTTGCTCACCATTGCTAAATATACAATTCGCTTCGGTCTGACATTGCGCTGCGTTTATATAACCCGGAAAGCAGTTGGTTTTGAAGGCGCGCTGGCAGTCTGAAACTTATGATCAACTCATCAGCTAGCTTCGCGAGGCTCGCAGGTTCCAGTGTCCATGTCATCCTCCACATCGATTGATGATTGAAATATTCTTTTATCTCAATTTGGTGATACTGGTCGTCACTGATAACCCAAACAACTACGCCTTCCAAATGCATTGACGTTAGATTGGTAAATGCGGATGACTGATGGTGTTGATAAGATGGTTTTTATCAAACAACCAATAAATTCTATTAATTATTGGTTTGTTTCTAGCTCGTTAAATTCCGTACAAATAGTAATTGATGAATTGCTATTTTCGTGCAAGAATTCCCTTAACATCTTGAAATCGGGATCAAAACTCCATGCAACTTTTCTTGGCGGCGTTTTCTCAAAAGCATGAGCTACTGGATACTTTTCAAAACAAAACCCACGTCTTGCAGATTTGCACACGAAGGAACTCATGCTATGAAAGTCTGACCTAAGTTTTCCTGTGAAAGGCAGTGGCTCGGAATATCCTTGACCTGTAGTTTTCGCGTAGCTGAAGTAATTCGATGCGCTGTTCTCAAAAATCCACCCTGGAAGGCGCGAAAATGGCGAAAACCAGCGTTTCCCAAGCTCCCCTCATTTTGAATTTGAACGAGTGGAACGCTTCACGCCATGGTTAGAGACGTAGAGTCATTGTGGACCCTCCATAGCATTGCGACAACTGCAGCCTCTAATGTGAGGGATATCGCAAGCTCGTCCGAGCGCGTGAGAAGGGCTGGCGCGCCGCGTGTAGAAGTATTTTTTTAGGTAAAGGCAGCATGCTCGGACCTGCTCCGAGCCGCTGCCTTCAAAAGCTGTGCAAGTCAGTACGACAAACAACTTCCTTTAAACAAGGAAACCGTCTCTGTGCCTAATGAATTTGCATGCTGGCAGCATATCCTAGGCAAAATTTTGTCCCGAGGACTTGGCTGAAGTTCGTTCTAGATGTTCGTGGCAAGCGAGTCTTACACACGCAAGCGGAAAGATCAACGACTTTAGCACGCTATAACAGTACCACCATGAGTATAACAGTACCGCTTTCTGCCGCTATGCGGCATATTCGGCTGGTACTTGGCAGCCCCCTGCCTCGTAAATCTTTCGTAGCGCGGAAACGTGAGAATTTTGCAGAGAATTCGTTATTTTGTACGAATTGGATACTTCAGTTTGTAATCCTGTAGAGAAAAATGCGAGAACGACATCATTTCTGCATTATCCGTTTATTTTGGTTCAACATTTTACATTTTGATTTAACGGTGTTGGCTGTCAGTGAATTGATATGTTAATCATCATTTGATCTTAAGTGATCATTCCTGATTCGATCGATGAATTTTGAGCAGTTAGTGACTCCTCAGAATGGTCAAGGCCCGTATGCATGTACAGAGAGGGGACGCAATATCTAGCTACTCTAGGGCAGCATGCATTACTCCGCCGGGGAGGGACCGCAGCTCCAAAGGAAGCTTCATATCCTAAAGATCAAATATTTGAATCTCAGCTTTTACCTATCCGTAAGCGTTTCTGCTATGGCCCGTAGTAAACCTCCATTCATTTCAGGTGACTTGAGATTAGTCATTCAGAAGAACTTCCTCGGGTGAACCTAATCCCGCCCACCTTCCCTTGCTTTAGGATAGTCAGTTCAACAGTCAGAAGACTGTCTGGTCAAGTGCTACAGTCAGTTCACCAGAATGCCACTTATCCGATGTTGAATTTTAAGGTGACCCGAGAGAGATAGTGTGCATAAAAGGAGAATCAGACAAATTTCCCGTAAGTTGCTCGTGAGTAACTTACGGGAAAATTCAGTCGATGTATTCTTGCAGTGCAAAACTCCCAAAACTGCACGATTTTGGCGCCCTAAATGGGAGAGGATCAATGAACAGCTGATTGCGGCGAGAAAAGCAAGAAAATAGAACTTCTTAGATTTCTTCTTTTTTCATAGCTTGCTTACATTTATCCTTCAGAAATTGCCTGAAACAAGGATTTTTTAATTTTTATCATTTGCTCTATGTTCCAAAATTTTCGTTTTTCATTTATTCTCGTCAAAATATAGTAAATTTGATTTATGGCCTGATCACACGACCGTAGCGGACAAGCCGTTGCTTCTCGGAAGCGGCGCGGTTTTGGTAGCGAGAGATCACTCTTATCAATGTGGATGGATGGAGAAAAATCAGCTGTTTATCGACTTTGACCAGCCCGCATCCTAGTCCCCAAGCGAGGGCCGCTACGGTTGTGTGAAAGGACGATATCCCTTTACTTGCTTGGCGATATCCTTGGTAGCGGTCGCCATCGATTTTTCTCGAAAGCGGACGCTATCAAAGATTGTCCATGGTGGCGCAAAATTTGCCACCAGCCGCCTTCGAACCATGGTCTTGCGTTGTGAAACCTATTCACTTAGCCACTCAACCAAACCTGTTCAAAGTACTGAGATTTTGGGAACACACAAGATCTCCATGTCTAGAAAGCGATCAGCAACCAAATCAATAGCTCACCGGATGCCGGATCTACGTTCAACGTAGCCCCGCCTTCAGCCGAGTTGCGCTGAGAGGGGGTTTACTACCGGCCTAACTTACGGGAAAATGCAGTCGACGTATTATTGCAGCGCAAAACTCCCAAAATTGCACGTTTTCGGCGGCCTAAATGGGAGGGGATCGACGAACAGCTGATTGCACCCAAAAAACGAAAAAAACAGGCTTTCAGAGCTTGATTACGTTTTTCCCTCGAAAACTGCTTGAAACAAGGATTCTTTGTTTTTTTATTTACTGTTCAAAAATTTTCGTTTTTCATGACTTCTTCGTCAAAATGTGGCAGTTTTGTTTTATCCATCATTTGCTTGGCGATATCTTTGATAGCGGTTGCCATCGATTTTCCTCGATAGCGGCCGCTATCAAAGATTGCCTGTGGTGGCGCAAAAGCTTGGCACCGTCCGGCTTTAAACCGCGGTCTTTCGCGTTGAAACCTATTCACTTAGCCTCTCGACCAGACCGCTCAAGAGTTTTAGTTTTTGAGAACGCACAAGATCTTTGGGTCTGAAAAGCGATCCGAATCCGGATCGATGGCTCACCGGATGCCGGAATGAGATGCCTTACGTTCAACGTAGGCCCGCCCCCAGCCGATTTGGGCTGAGAGGGGGCTTACTACGGGCCTATCTTTCATTACGAACATATCGAGCAGGAGCGCGAAATTGTACAAGCCGCATTTTGCAGCTTTTTGTATGATCCCCTGATGATGCCCGGCAGATAACCGTCTTTTCTTCAAAGTCATTTTTTTCGAAGTCAACGAAAGCCTTTCAAAGTTTTGTTGATTATCTAACATAACAATACCAAGCATATTGCTGATAAGAACAAATGGTTTTTTTGAATCGAATTTTTCGATAAATCCCAACTTTCGACGTGTGGATCATGGCAAATTTCATGACTTCAGTACATCATTTGTTCTCATCAGCAACATGCTAAGCACTGCTGAGTCAGATAATCTGTGCAACATTAAAACATTTCTTTAATTTCGAAAAAAATGACTAAGGAAAGTCGGTTGGCCGCCGGGGATCATCGGAATTCATACTAAAAGCGGAAAATGCGACAGCGTTAATTTCAGGAATTCGGAGCTTCAGGATATGAAGTTTTCTCTCAAGCTGCATCCCCTCCCTGTCGGGGATGTCAATGCATGCTGCCCCTAGGTATCTTTTTTCTTGTTTCTTTAAGTACCTTATGAAGGTTCTCATACCCTGGTATCTGCGCATAATGAATGCCTGGTTACTGTCAAATAGAATTAGACTTTCTCTAGTATCATTTGCAGAGTGATTTACCTTTCTGAAAACTCAATAAAAAGCTGTCAAATTACTGAGAATAAGCTACGGTACTGCTAAGCATGTTTATAGTATAAACACGAGATCTTAGGATATCGAAATCTTCGATGAACCACTGCTCGCGAGCGAGGGATGATCAAAAAATTTACGATTTCCAGCCTCCATTTTTTCGTCGAAAACTGGCTTAGCAGTGCCGTTGTATATCCCCAGTACGGTGTTACAGCTTTTCATAAAGTTTTGAGGAATATAAATGACTTTGAAATAAGGTGATACCCTGACGATTACCAGCGGATCACACAAAATGGGGGAAATCTATTTCTGTTTCAGTAACCTAGCATCCATTATGCGTAGGTATCAGGGTATGGAAACCTTCTTGACCTAGATAGAGGAAGAAGAAGAAAGATTTGTAGACTAGCGATAATCCGTCCCCTCTCAGATCAACTCCCTCCCCCCCCCGCTGGATATACGTGCATACGGGTCTAATACGTATCAAAAATTACCCAGCAGTCGAGAATGTAACATACAAAAAATCAACAAATGGACAGAAAATTCAACAACTGAATTAATAGATATTTTATTCGTATTAACTACAGTACCCAAACTAACTATTCGACAGAAAACGCAAAAACTGACAATCCGCGTTTTTTTTTCGTTTTTTCTTCATAACTTCCTTCAGATTGCATGAAATATGAATCCGAAAAAAGCATGATGTTCAGCTCGTCAAGATGAATCTTTTCTTATACTACACTCTCTTACTATACCGTTTTCAGTCTGCTCGATTTTTGTGTGAGGACGGATTTTTGTATGGTGTAACTCAGCAGAAAACACACATGGAAGACTCTAGTAACCATGATTCGGTAGAGCTATTCCCGCAGATTATCATGCGATAGCGAATAGCGGAGGTTCCCTTTTCCATAAAAACGATAGGCCAGTGAATTTTTAAAAAATCGATGTCTCTCAAATTTTAGCCACCGTAACCATACAGTAAGGCGCTAATTTACAAAGCAGGTGTGTTTTTCGTGATCAGCAGGCTAGATAACCCCTTTGCACAGGTTTTCCGAGGAATGCGGGCTTTTTGGTTTTTTTTCGTTCTAGGCTGCGAAGCTCGCTGACGGGTTTTGGCTAAAATATTGATGGTCTTGGATTGACCGGAAACTTCGCCCATAGAGGTTTTCGGACTCGCTGATTACGAAAATAGTGCTATTTGTGCAGTGTGAGTTCTTTTAGCAGGGTTATGCTGAGGGGAATGCTGTGATACAACGTGACTTCCTGAATTGTCTGCCCTTTCGCGTATCTGTTGGACAACTTACCTGCTCCTCTTTGTAATTTGAAATCACTAGAGATAGTACCTTCAGAGCATGCTTGAGCTAGGCCCTTATCTGCATTAATCGCCGAACAGTGAGCTTACGAATTCACGTCCTCATGAAAATCATTCAAAATTTTAAGACCGCATATTTTGTCCAAGTATCGCCGCGAATGGTTATAGATGACTCTGATTGCAGATATTATGTTTATATACATATGTAAATTGAGAATTACAATTCAACATACTTGCTTACCCCCTGTGCCAATTACATATGTAGCTCAAAGTTTGCAAAAAATCGATAGGGTCGGTAAAGGTAGTTGTTTTTCAAAACTAATATTCTGTCCGTAATCAGCACCCTCACCCACCTACTTGTACGAATTCTTAGCCGGTAGCTCATAGTTGGCAAATAATCAATAAATCGATAGCGACCGATGACGAAATGTAGTCCACGAGACCAGCTCGGCCCCTAATAAAAGATAAATTGTATGTGCTACGTTGTGTGCAGATTTTGCTGTGCATTGATTCAGAGATGCAGTTCTGCTACTAGCACAGACACAATGACACATGACAAACAGACAATCACTCAAAGCACCGTCCACCTAAATTCTCAACCTGGTGTTTTGTCATTCCGGGGCCTTTTCATGTCCCTGATTCCGAATATGAAGTCGAGAATCCATGAGAACCCCGAGAAACCCCGTTTCGGAGAACCCGCGGGGCGAGTTGTGGGAACGGTGATTGGATAGGTGGACAGAATAACCAGCTTTAGAACTGCAAATAATGAATGGCCCACGCTTTTATATCTATCTAGTGGGAATAAAAGCGTGCTCGATTAAGGTGAACGGTTGCAAGGAGATGATGTTTATGAGGAGATTGACAGACTTTAGTATTCCAACTGTTATTGCCTTTATTATCTTTAACATACTAAACTTAAAGGCAGACAAGGTGGGGTTTTGGGATTTCAGCGCCATGGGAAAGTGGCCCACCTCAGAAATAGCATCGCACAAGTACGAGGTTATAACGTTCGACCTAAACCAAGAAAAACGATCGGAAAGTGGGGAAACTTACGTTCTGGGGCGGGGTCCACCAGCTGTCCGAATTCCTGCTATGCGGCAGAGTACGCATGCCGCCACAGTTAAATCGTAGGGTCCCGGCGACTTTGCGTCTCAGCCTCGGCGGGGACCGTCGAATTTCAAACTGTAAGGCTTTTGAAAAAGCAGGTTCTCGCCGTATTTGCGCCTTCTAATGTGGGTTTTCGGATTTAGCGTTGCGGATAACCCCCAATAAGTGGATTTTCTAAAAGTCGAGGACACTGCCTTTAGAGGCACCGTCCACCCACAATGCGTCGATGAGATTTTGATGCCAAACAATAGTGGGCCCCCAGCTTTATGCCTCTCAACTCGCGGAAAGAAGTTGCTTCCGAAGCGAGAAAATTGCTTTGAAAATCGCTTTGGATGACGGATTCGCCACGTTGGTCCCTCCCCTTTAACTGGGCGTGACGTTCGTCCCGCCCTTTTGAGCGCACCTAATCAATCACCGTTTCGCACAACTCGCCCCGCGGGTTCTCCGAAACGGCGCTGAAATCCCAAAACCCCCACCTTGTCTGCCTTTGAGTTTAGTATGTTAAAGATAATAAAGGCAATAACAGTTGGAATACTAAAGTCTGTCAATCTCATCATAAACATCATCTCCTTGCAACCGTTCACCTTAATCGAGCACGCTTTTATTCCCACTAGATAGATATATTAGGTTGGCTCGAAAGTTCTGGGACATTTTCGAACTAGATCTGCTATTTCTCGAAACCTAATGCATATACATCAGTTGGAGGTACCATTCGATAGAGCAAAGCAAGCTCTACAAGATAGTGTGCAAAAACTTGCACCAGCTTCGACTCACCGTAAGTTTGAACCCAAAATCTGAGTCGTACTGAAATTCAAAAAATCGCGAAAAATTCATATCTTTGTTGAGACAAATCTTGCGGATCTCCAACTTGCTCACAAAAATTGTACACCACATCAGACACTCATATGCACCGTATCCGTATTTTTTCTTCATCTAGATACCGAGAAAACGAAAATTTTCATGCTTATATAAAAACGAAGCTGTGCTGTTTTCACCCATGTAATTGAATAGTATAAGCCCTTAGAAGTATAACCGTAAATTTTCAGCTTTTCGTAAGCCCTAATTGTCGGAAAAAACTGGTTTTAGCATGGAACGCCCGAGCAAGCAGTGGTATCAACGCAGAGTACTGGGAACTAAGGCCTGTACGAAGCTGAAAATTAAGGGTTATACTTCTAAGGACTTGTACTATGCAGTTACATGGGTGAAAACAGCACAGATTCGTTTTTATATAAGCATGAAAATTTTCGTTTTCTCGGTTTCTAGATGAGGAAAAAATACAGATACGGTGCATATGAGTGTTTGATATGGTGTACAATTTTTGTGAGCAAGTTGGAGATCCGCAGGATCGGTCTGAACGAAGATATGAATTTTTCGCGATTTTTTGAAATTCGGTACGATTCAGATTTTGGGTGCAAACTTACGGTGGGTCGAAGCTCCTGCGAACTTCTGCATACCATCTTGTAGAGCTTGCTTTGCTCTATCGAATGGTACCTCTAACTGATGTACATACGCTAGGTTTCGAGAAATAGCAGATCTAGTTCGAAAATGTCCCAGAATTTTCGAGCCAACCTAATAAAAGCGTGGGCCATTCATTATTTGCAGTTCTAAAACTGGTTATTCTGTCCACCTATCCAATCACCGTTCCCACAACTCGCCCCGCGGGTTCTCCGAAACGGGGTTTCTCGGGGTTCTCATGGATTCTCGACTTCATATTCAAAATCAGGGACATGAAAAGGCCCCGGAATGACAAAACACCAGGTTGAGAATTTAGGTGGACGGTGCTTTGAGTGATTGTCTGTTTGTCATGTGTCATTGTGTCTGTGCTAGTAGCAGAACTGCATCTCTGAACCAATGCACAGCAAAATCTGCACACAACGTAGCACATACAATTTATCTTTTATTAGGGGCCGAGCTGGTCTCGTGGACTACATTTCGTCATCGGTCGCTATCGATTTATTGATTATTTGCCAACTTTGAGCTACCGGCTAAGAATTCGTACAAGTAGGTGAGTGAGGGTGCTGATTACGGACAGAATATTAGTCTTGAAAAACAACTACCTTTACCGACCCTATCGATTTTTTGCAAACTTTGAGCTACATATGTAATTGGCACAGGGGGTAAGCAAGTATGTTGAATTGTAATTCTCAATTTACATATGTATATAAACATAATATCTGCAATCAGAGTCATCTGTAACCATTCGCGGCGATACTTGGACAAAATATGCGGTCTTAAAATTTTGAATGATTTTCATGAGGACGTGAATTCGTAAGCTCACTGTTCGGCGATTAATGCAGATAAGGGCCTAGCTCAAGCATGCTCTGAAGGTACTATCTCTAGTGATTTCAAATTACAAAGAGGAGCAGGTAAGTTGTCCAACAGATACGCGAAAGGGCAGACAATTCAGGAAGTCACGTTGTATCACAGCATTCCCCTCAGCATAACCCTGCTAAAAGAACTCACACTGCACAAATAGCATTATTTTCGTAATCAGCGAGTCCGAAAACCTCTATGGGCGAAGTTTCCGGTCAATCCAAGACCATCAATATTTTAGCCAAAACCCGTCAGCGAGCTTCGCAGCCTAGAACGAAAAAAACCAAAAAGCCCGCATTCCTCGGAAAACCTGTACAAAGGGGTTATCTAGCCTGCTGATCACGAAAAACACACCTGCTTTGCAAATTAGCGCCTTACTGTATGGTTACGGTGGCTAAAATTTGAGAGACATCGATTTTTTAAAAATTCACTGGCCTATCGTTCTTTATGGAAAAGGGAACCTCCGCTATTCGCTATCGCATGATAATCTGCGGGAATAGCTCTACCGAATCATGGTTACTAGAGTCTTCCATGTGTGTTTTCTGCTGAGTTACACCATACAAAAATCCGTCCTCACAGAAAAATCGAGCAGACTGAAAACGGTATAGTAAGAGAGTGTAGTATAAGAAAAGATTCATCTTGACGAGCTGAACATCATGCTTTTTTCGGATTCATATTTCATGCAATCTGAAGGAAGTTATGAAGAAAAAACGAAAAAAAACGCGGATTGTCAGTTTTTGCGTTTTCTGTCGAATAATTAATGTGGGTACTGTATGCTTAGCTCTCTGCCAATTTTCAACCCTCCGCAGCGTAAAATAGGAAAAGATCAGTACATCGATGAGACCACTTCAGTGGAAGCAGCTTACTGATAACTTCCCCGTCCGGTGCTTTTGTTTGCGAATTGTTGAAATTAAAGTTAAAGTTCTACGTTTCTTTCCATCATTTCAGGCCATTCACAAATAAAGCTAGTCAAAATCATATAATTGTTGACTTATTAAGCAAAAACAGCAATAAATCAATAAATGCGGCGCAAAACGGCTTATTAACACAAGCCTTACCCCAGATATTATTTCTACCAAATTAGGTTCAGATTCTATGAATCCTTCTATCCTTCATACAAAATTTTCCAAGCAAAGACTGTAAAAATTCAATAAATCAATAGGGACAGTCCGTGCGTCCAGAACAAAAAAACACACTCCCCAACATTATGTCTGCTAAATTTGTTCCATATATCATGGCTCCTTCTATCCTTTTTGGGCGAACATACAAAAAGTGGCTGAACCAAATATTATACAGTATTGATCATAGAAAAAACGTACGTGTGCATAATCGCAGACCTCTCGGCTGGACTGCAGAGCCTGCTGGCATACATGCTTCCCAAGCAAGAACGAAAAAGAATCTAATATTGAGATGTATTTTGGTGAAAAAAAAATGAGAAACTTAACCCATTCTGCAACTTCCTTGGTGAGGTGGTAGAACTTGAGGGTGGTGCGGGTGATCGTGGTCTCTCCTGGATCTCTGCGATCCAAATTGGTCATGAAATTAAACAGTACTATGAATGCGAAATTTTTCTCAAAATCCTTTCATACAGACATCGCATACCAGTACTTCTTGACTGCCAAAGAGCCACTCTTCTTGTGTTGTGGGAGCCTTTAGTTTTTGCAAAAGAGTTTGACAAACCTTGCTGCGGCAAGCTCGTTCAACGGTACCGTTTATAATACGGACATCATCGTAGTCAGGATATGGCTTCAATATTCTTTACGACGTTTACTGTTGAAAAGAAATGTGGATGTAAAAGGCTCACTTTTTCTCCATAAAGCAGTTTCTTGAACACAGGAGCGAAATTCAGAGCTGCTTCTTCAGCCGTCTAAATTCTAAATTCTATTCTAGTCTAACTTCCGCGAGTTAGGCAAACTATGCGGTAGTAGAGAAGAAAGCAAAAACATCAAAAACAGATAAGTGGCTATCCGGTTTTCCCAACAAATTTTCACCACGAAGTGATTTTTTATTGACTTGCGGAACCAAAAAATAGGGAAAAATGGAAGAGAGTACGAACTCAGACGAAGTAAGGGAAAGGGCACAGTGGCATTGACAATATAGGCAGAAATAAAATCTCTTCTATAAGTTCGTTCTTCACGTCAATTTTGGCTGGATATCGTAACCCCGTAAGGTTGATTGTGTGTCAAAGATACTCAGTTTATGGCGTGGGAATGACGCTAAACTCTTTTTTTGTGATCATGTTATGATACCAGCGACGGCACATATGGAGTGTACGTTTTTGTGGATGAAAACACAATGGTCGTTTTTGCGAGAATATGCAGAGATACACGTCAGAACGTTGAAAATTGTCCTTTCAATGTGCTTCAATTCTAAGAGTAATGTTTACTTTGTGGACATTATTGACTCAGTACAAGCACTTCCTGCCTTCGACAGAAGAGGCTTTTGGAGTCTGAGAAACTTACGTCTGCCATAAAAATTTGATTGTATGATCCCAAATCCGCCAGCATTTTGTATTTTTCTTCCCTGGTGTAAACGCGACACCCTCCTTCAGGAATGATCGAAGGAGTAATCGTTGTCGTTGTTGTTGTGGTTGATGTGGTTTTAGATGGTGGAGGTGGTTTGATGTCTGATTGACCACCGTAAGGAACATAATTCGAAGGATGAGTAGTTGTTGTTGTGGTAATTCCTGCTGTATATCCATCCTAAATACTGGCACCCATTTTATTTGAATTATCTGAATGATTTTGATGTTTAATATAACAGAACATGATTGTCCGCCTAGACTCGAAATTATCAACGAAAAAAAACCAAAAAAGAATTATAGTTTCTTTTACCGCCCATTATCGCGCACGTGCTTTGGAATGTGCGTATGTCCCCGCTAAAATCTGGTGCGACAAGTTGGTGTGTCCTATATACAGGTTTTCTTGTGCGAATTTCAAGCTTTGAAATTGCCTGACTAAAAAGTACTTACGAGAAAATGGTCAACTTAACCCAGCCATTCCAAATAATCTGTCCATCATCGAACTCGTTTCGAAGCGTTGATCTCAGATATACGTTTTTTATCTGCCAAGCGACTATGTGGGAGGAGTTATGAGCGTTCAAACAAAAAATTTTTCGAGTTTCGACGAATATATTTCTTTAAAAGGCGGCCTGATATCACGAATTTTACAGTGGCTATGATTATTTTGATTACAAAGAAGAAGTACATTCAAGAAATACCCAAATAACTGTTTTTGAACACTTGAGCATGCGCCACAGAACACTTGAAAAATCGCAAATTTAAACGCTAATAACTCCTCCCAGATAGTCGCTCGGCAGAAATAAACCTATATTTGTGATCAGCGTTCTAAGAAGAGCCCGATGATATACAGCATGTTTGGTGTGGCTGGATTGAGTTGCAGGAGCTGTATGGAATTTGAATTTGAATGACCACAAAACGAGGCTACCGCGAAGAAACTCCACCCTAATGGTCTTAGACTTCTTCTTCAGATATTAGCTACATGCGCGCGATGCAGCTAACTTTTACTCACGTACATGCATCAGACCAAAAAACAGTCGACCTAGTCTATACATGTCTGAGAACTCACAACCTGATGTCAAACTTTTTCTAATATTAGCATAACACTGTTTCGAGAGATACGAAAAAAAGGACAATTCTACTGCTCACTAGCTGGCTAACCCGGCTCCGCCTGGCCCTGTCAAAACACTATGATAAAGCTCTTATCCCTATACCTGTATAACCTTTCCCCGTGCCCGCTTCCCCATACCAACTTCAACTCCTATTCCCGCTGTATTAGTAATCAGCATGCTCGATTACCCTCTGTGTCAACTCCCCTCGTGGCTCAAACTTTGCAAAGATATTGATAAAATCGATAAAATCGATATTGATCGATGACGAAAAGCAGCCTATAGCACCCGCCCGGCTCGGAAGTGTAAAGGACACTGCATGACGAAGCATTATCATTTGAGCGGGCGCGAACGCGACGCGCGCGTACCCTCACCGTTGTAAATCCTGCGCCCCATGCGCTCCGTGGCTGAAACAGCCGCGCTCGCGCCCGACGAAATTACGCCTTCGTCATGCAGTAGCCTTTACGTCTGCGTCAGCCTATATGTGTGCCAAGTTTGGTCCGTCTCGGTTCAGAAATGGAATCTTCCATTCGAAACCCACATACAGACATACAAACAGACAATCAGCTTTATATATAAGATACACTCTTGGCAAAAACCTCATAACCTCTTTCACAAGCGTGCAAAAATATAAATTAGATTTGGAATCAGCCTTTAAAGTTGAGTAAAGTGGCTGAATCGTTGAAAACCATGACCGCTAAGAATCTTTCTTGTAAGTAAAGAAAATCTGCTTGCAAGCTAGAGCGAAACAACCGAATGAACGATCAACTTGCGAAAGGCAACCACGTTTTTTCATGATAGCTGCTTTTAACGATCAGCACCTTAATACAATCCCAAAGATTTCTAAATCAATGCGGAGTTTTACCTTATTCTTGTCGCCGCAGCTTGACCCTGCATCGACAAGATCAAGCAGATACACTATAAACAGTAGGAGTGAACGCAGGTGATGGATGATTGCCATTCTGAAATTAAAACTGTAATTGATGATATTGAGTTCTACAAAGGAAAGATACTTGGTCCGCGGCCATTCGTAGAGACACATCACTAGATGCGCATCTGAAATACAATACCGCACGTAATTTGTGAAAAAAATTGGCGGCAGCCGCTTAGCTCAGGCGACGGCTACCGAAGTCAAGCGGCGGCCGCCGCAGTTAGGCGGCAAGCACCGCGTCACGTGACAAAGTTAGGCGGCAGGCGCCCGACTTCGGCGGCCGCCGCGTAACTTTTTTAGAAATCTTCGAAAGACCTTATCTTGACTCAAAGTTTATAAATTCTATATTCAAGAGTACCATTCAGCAAAGTTCGGCGAGGCGCATCTTCCAGCATGTGGACGTGACTAGACGTGCGATATAGGTTTTTTTCTTGGAATTTTAGTGTGAATGGATCATTCAGTGTGCTGATTCCGAGGCCACATTTTGTTGCGCACTGCAGAAATATGTTAGGTATAGTTTAAGAGCTCATTCTGCACGGATATGTGTAAAATTGGGCTCTTCTCGGTAAAGTATGACGAGTCCCAAAATGCAGGAAGACAAAGGGGAGTGGCTGGAAATCGCATACGAAGCACATATCGTGGAATGCCGCGCGTGTTGTGCAATGTACAACACCACCCATAAAACGGGAACTTCGCGAAATTTCGGAAAGATCGCGAACCGAAAAATAGCAAATTACGCAGCGCCATAATTTCCTTCGGAATGAATATATTCTGTATCTCGTTTCCAGTTTTCACAACTTTTTTTGCGGAAATCCTTTTGCAAGAACGCAGCGCCTATTCAACATAAAAGATACCAGTAAGTACCATTCGATAGTGCTGCTGATGTAGATTACAGCGCGCTAGCAGGTAGCCGCAATCTTCTTTCTAAAAGAGACGGAAGAAGAGAAGAAGCGTTGGTGAATTCTGAACGATCACGCGTTTTCAAATTCTTCTCACCTTAACTTCTTTTGGAGTGAATATTTTCTGAATATGAAAGAAGCATTGTGCTCAGCTCATCAAGGCGAATTTTTCGATATACAGAATGTCCCTGATATTTCGGTTTCAGTACTCTCGAAACTTTCTGCGGATTCGCAAAGGTGTAAAGCAGCGCGTATGCCCCCAGTAGATTCCAGAAATAATTTTCTGATAGTACTTCTTCTGTAGATTATGGAGCGCTAAGAAATAGCCGTACACTTCTTTCCAAAGGAAATGTAGTCGTCCTCACCCCACTAGTCGGTCGGTGGTCGAATTTAAATTCGAACTGGAGCAGACCGGCCGCGGCGAAGCGCGGCAGACCGCCCCTCAGCCAACCGCTTGCACATGAACTTTTCTCTTATTTTCTTCGTGTTTCTTTGCTATCTTTCTTATTGCGGCAATGTTCTTTATCAGATTTTTAGATTTCGCACCGCTAACTATTGTTTTGTGCAGTTGTGCTCGTTTGTTTTGCATTTTTTCCATGTAAGCCGAAAAGAAGGATGCGATTGAAGAGTTGTGGATGAGAAATTTCTTTTTTCCGGTAAGTGACATGTACACAAATGTGATTTGATGAAATATGTCAAGTTTTCGTTAGAATATGTACTCTAGACTATTTTTTTGCGGCAAGGCTGAAATTCTGTCAGAAATCGTTTGTTTCAAAAAGTTAGCGGTACGGAATCTGAGAATTTGATTAAGAACATTGCCGCTACGAGAGATAGCGAAGAAACTCGAAGAAAATAAGAGAAAAGCTCGTGCAAGCGGTTGGCTGAAGGGCGGCGTCTGCCGCGCCCTGCCGCGGTCAGCCTGCTCTGGTTCGAATTCAAATTCGACCACCGACCGACTAGTGGGGTGAGGACCACTATAGAAGGGCTGGCAGATTTTGGGAAAATCAAGTCTATCTAAATTTTTCTCACCATAAGTCTGAAATATATAGCTCTCTTGCTAAGCAGATGTGATTTTCGTGATCAGCGAATCGGATAACCTTTACGAGCAAGTTTTTCGAGATGTTTCGGGTTATTTCATTTTTTGTCGTTCTACGCTCTGAAGCTCGCCGGTGAATTTTCGTCAAAATGTCGATGATCTCGAATTGCCAGGAAACTTCGCCTACAGAGGTTTTCGGACACGCTCTTTACAAAAATCGTAATCTTTGAGGATTACAGGGTCTTTTTGGAGAGATACGGTGAGTTGACTGTAACTGCACTACGAAAGTGCGTGACTTTGCCCGCACTTCTCGCGTATCTGTCAGAAAACTTGCCTGCTTGCTTTTATAAGTCAAAGTTACATGGAACTGTGATATCGAGTGGTGCATGACTCAGGCTCCAATCTTTGAAAATCGCGGGTTACGAGCCTACGAAAACACATCTTCATGGATTTTGCACAAAATGTAAGGATCGCGTACTTCGTTAACTCCACCTTGAGTGGTTGTATGACATTTTGATGGCAAATATTATGTTCACTTCGCCCAAAGAATCTCAGTGTATTGAATATGGTGACTGGGTGTGCTTCAGCTGCTTAATTGAACATCAAAGCAGTTTCACAGCTAGAGCTCAGATCTGTCTAACTGTCAAAGTCAACATGGAAGGATTCATTAAGCGAATTGAATTGATCTGACCAGCGTGTTATACAGCCACTCAAGTGGAATTTCAACGAAGTGCGCGATCTTTACATTTTGTGCAAAATTCATGAAGATGTGTTTTCGTAGGCTCGTAACCCGGCGATTTTCAAAGAGTGGAGCCTGAGTCATGCACCACTCGATATCACAGTTCCTAGTAACTTTGACTCATAAAAGCAAGCAGGCAATTTTTCTGACAGATACGCGAGAAGTGCGGGCAAAGTCACGCACTTTCGTAGTGCAGTTACAGTCACCTTACCGTATCTCTCCAAAAAGACCCTGTAATCCTCAAAGATTACGATTTTTGTAAAGAGCGTGTCCGAAAACCTCTGTAGGCGAAGTTTCCTTGCAATTCGAGATCATCGACATTTTGACCAAAATTCACCGGCGAGCTTCAGAGCGTAGAACGACAAAAAATGAAATAACCCGAAACATCTCGAAAAACTTGCTCATAAAGGTTATCCGACCCGCTGATCACGAAAATCACATCTGCTTAGCAAGAGAGCTATATTTTAGGTCTTTCCGAAAGTTCTTTCCGTTTTTTCAACCTATCATAAAAACACATGGAATGAAGGTAGAGAAACGCTTCAAAAGCTATCCGGCGCAGCTTTTCTTCCTCTTTTCAACAGTCATATTCCTCCGTCGCTCGCTCTTGTGGTCAGTGAGATAATGGCCGAAATTTCGGACCTATGGTTTTTACCATGTCCAACTTTGGCAATTTTTCATTATCTTCTTCTTTGACTTTTGGAAAAGCTTCAATAGCAGTCGGATAGAGTAAACAAAGTGCAATGCAATGCAATTTTTTGGCAATTTCAGCTGGCTTCTCATTATTTTTTTAAATAACTTTTTCAGAACTCTTCACTTTTCCGAAGTCACAAAACACACAAACGCTTTATACATCAACAAATCTTCGGTTTTCGAAACTTTCAAAAGTCGTTTATGATTGTGCACTATTTTTACAATATAACTGAGTATTTATCGCTTTGAATTATAAGATTTCGCATTTCACATGTACACCTTTAGGCGGGTTCAAAATCAAGAATTATGGAAATTTTATCGCCAGAGACCCCACAAACTATGAAGAAAAAGCACTCATCAGAAAGAGGAGAAAAAGCTGCATCGAATGACACCTTAGTTGTGCGCCGTTTTATATTCTATGGCTTTTGGCATTCCCAAAAGTGGAATTTGATAGCATCAGAAAAGTAATTCTAAAAATGTTTTGAGGCTAGCTATAGATGCCGAAAAATTGCATAAAATTGCACTTTGTTTACTCTATCCGACTGCTATCAAAGCTTTTCCAAAAGTCAAAAAAGAAGATAGTGAAAAGTTGCCAAAATTGGACATGGTAAAAACCACGGGTTCGAAATTTCGGTCATTATCTCACTGAGCACAAGAGCGACCGGCACAGGAATATGACTGTTGAAAAGAGGAAGAAAAATTGCGTTGGATAGCTTTTGAAGCGTTTCTCTACCTTCATTCCATGTGTTTTTATGAGTACTCTGCGTTGATACCACTGCTT